GTTAAAATGAGTTTCTTAAAAAATATTAAATACTACTTCATTATACTATTATCCACAAAGAGGAAATGTCATAACACCGAATTAAAAAACTTTGTTTCACATGTTAAACAGTTACAATTTATGATACAGATCAATCTGTTACAAGTAGTTAACACCATATAGCGATAGTACAACACGGTATAGCGATAGGACAACACGGTGTAGCGATAGTACAACACGGTATAGCAATAGTATAACACGGTATAATGAAAGTACAACACGGTATAGCGATAGTACAACACGGTATAGCGATAGTACAACACGGTATAGCGATAGTACAACACGGTATAGCGATAGTACAACACGGTATAGCGATAGTACAACACGGTATAATGAAAGTACAACACGGTATAGTGACAGAACAACACGACATAGCGATAGTACAACACGATATAGTGACAGTACAACACGATATAGTGACAGTACAACACGATATAGTAATAGTGCAACACGGTATAGCGATAGTACAACACGGTATGGTGACAGTGCAACACGGTGTAGCGATAGTACAACACGGTATAGTGATAGTACAACACGGTATAGCGATAGTACAACACGATATAGTGACAGTACAACACGGTATAGTGACAGTACAACACGGTATAGCGACAGTACAACACGGTATAGTGACAGTACAACACGGTATAGCGATAGTACAACACGGTATAGCGATAGTACAACACGGTATAGTGACAGTACAACACGGTATAGTGACAGTACAACACGGTATAGCGATAGTACAACACGGTATAGCGATAGTACAACGACGATATAGTGACAGTACAACACGGTATAGCGATAGTACAACACGGTGTAGCGATAGTACAACACGGTATAGCGATAGTACAACACGGTAAAGTGAAAGTACAACACGGTATAGTGACAGTACAACACGGTATAGCGATAGTACAACACGATATAGTGACAGTACAACACGGTATAGTGATAGTACAACACGGTATAGCGATAGTACAACACGGTATAGTGACAGTACAACACGATATAGCGATAGTACAACACGCATAGTGACAGTACAACACGGTATAGCGATAGTACAACACGGTATAGTGATAGTGCAACACGGTATAGCGATAGTACAACACGGTATAGTGATAGTGCAACACGGTATAGCGATAGTACAACACGGTATAGTGACAGTACAACACGATATAGTGACAGTGCAACACGGTATAGCGATAGTACAACACGGTATAGTGACAGTGCAACACGGTATAGCGATAGTACAACACGGTATAGTGACAGTGCAACACGGTATAGCGATAGTACAACACGGTATAGCGATAGTACAACACGATATAGTGACAGTACAACACGGTATAGTGACAGTGCAACACGGTATAGCGATAGTACAACACGGTATAGTGACAGTGCAACACGGTATAGCGATAGTACAACACGGTATAGTGATAGTACAACACGGTATAGCGATAGTACAACACGGTATAGTGACAGTGCAACACGGTATAGCGATAGTACAACACGGTATAGTGACAGTACAACACGGTATAGTGATAGTACAACACGGTATAGTGATAGTACAACACGGTATAGCGATAGTACAACACGATATAGTGACAGTACAACACGGTATAGTGACAGTGCAACACGGTATAGCGATAGTACAACACGGTATAGTGACAGTGCAACATGGTATAGCGATAGTACAACACGGTATAGTGACAGTGCAACACGGTATAGCGATAGTACAACACGGTATAGCGATAGTACAACACGGTAAAGTGACAGTACAACACGGTATAGCGATAGTACAACACGGTATAGTGACAGTACAACACGGTATAGCGATAGTACAACACGGTATAGTGACAGTACAACACGGTATAGCGATAGTACAACACGGTATAGCGATAGTACAACACGGTATAGTGATAGTACAACACGGTATAGCGATAGTACAACACGGTATAGTGACAGTGCAACACGGTATAGCGATAGTACAACACGGTATAGTGACAGTACAACACGGTAAAGTGATAGTACAACACGGTATAGCGATAGTACAACACGATATAGTGACAGTACAACATGGTATAGTGACAGTACAACACGGTATAGTGACAGTACAACACGGTATAGTGATAGTACAACACGGTATAGCGATAGTACAACACGGTATAGTGATAGTATGGTATAGTGATAGTACAACACGGTATAGTGACAGTGCAACACGGTATAGCGATAGTACAACACGGTATAGTGACGGTGCAACAACACGGTATAGCGATAGTACAACACGGTATAGCGATAGTATAACGGTTACGGTATAGCGACAGTACAACACGGTATAGCGACAGTACAACACGGTATAGCGATAGTACAACACGATATAGTGACAGTACAACACGCTATAGTGACAGTGCAACACGGTATAGCGATAGTACAACACGGTATAGTGACAGTGCAACACGGTATAGCGATAGTACAACACGGTATAGTGACAGTACAACACGGTATAGCGATAGTACAACACGGTATAGTGACAGTGCAACACGGTATAGCGATAGTACAACACGGTATAGTGACAGTGCAACGGTATGGTATAGTAGTGGAACAAAATGATAGTACAACACGGTATAGTGATCAGTACAACACGGTATAGCGATAGTACAACACGATATAGTGATAGTACAACACGGTATAGTGACAGTACAACACGGTATAGCGATAGTACAACACGGTATAGTGACAGTGCAACATGGTATAGCGATAGTACAACACGGTATAGTGACAGTGCAACACGGTATAGCGATAGTACAACACGGTATAGTGACATTACAACACGGTATAGCGACGGTGTGTAGTACAATAACACGGTATAGTGACGAAGTACAACACGGTATAGCGATACGGTACAAGTGAGTAGCACAACACGGTATAGCGATGTACAACACGGTACAACAACACGGTATAGTGACAGTACAACACGGTAGTAGCGATAGTACAACACGGTATAGTGATAGTACAACACGGTATAGTGACAGTGCAACACGGTATAGCGATAGTACAACACGGTATATGACAGTGTGGTATAGCGATAGTACAACACGGTATAGTGATAGTGCAACACGGTATAGTGATAGTACAACACGGTATAAGTGATGAAAGGTACAACACGGTATAGATGATAGTGCAAACACGGTATAGTGATAGTACAACACGGTATAGTGACAGTGCAACACGGTATAGCGATAGTACAACACGATATAGTGACATTACAACACGGTATAGTGACAGTGGAACACGGTATAGCGATAGTACAACTCGGTAAAGTGATAGTACAACACGGTATAGCGATAGTACAACACGATATAGTGACAGTACAACATGGTATAGTGACAGTACAACACGATATAGTGACAGTACAACATGGTATAGCGATATATGTATAACACGATATAGTGACAGTACAACACGCTATAGTGACAGTGCAACACGGTATAGCGATAGTGCAAGACGGTATAGCGATAGTATAACACGATATAGTGACAGTACAACACGCTATAGTGACAGTGCAACACGGTATAGCGATAGTACAACATGGTATAATGATAGTACAACACGGTATAATGACAGTACAACACGATATAGTGACAGTACAACACGGTATAGCGGTAGTACAACACGGTATAGTGATAGTACAACATGGTATAGTACAACACGGTATAGCGATAGTACAACACGGTATAGCGATAGTACAACACGGTATAGTGATAGTACAACACGGTATAGTGACAGTACAACACGACATAGCGATAGTACAACACTATATAGTGACCGTACAGCACGGTATAGTGATAGTACAACACGATATAGTAACAGTGCATCACGATAGAGCGATAGTGCAAGTGATGTCTAGAACCTACTCCGAAACGTCGCTCTCACAGCAATACAGAAGTTGATCATCTATATATTGTTATCCTTCCTTGCTGCCCCAACTTCTAAATGCCTCTCAAAGAAGTTACGATTCGTGATGTTGGTGACACTAAACTGGAATTCCTACGAGCCATCAACGACTGCTTACACGAAACACATCATTTGCTACTTATGTTCGATACATCCAACTTCGACCTATGTGTTAATGCGATGGGGTAGCCTAGTGGTTAAAGCCTTCGCTCGTCACGCCGAAGACCCGGCGTCAAACTAAACTCACTCACTCGACCTATACAAATGTATCTGGTCCCTGCGTATCGATCAATACAGAGACAAAAGAATTCACGGTCTCAGTTCAAACGCCTGATCAAAAAATGTATACATTGGAATAAATACAATTAACCTTATCAGAATAATCAGCAATACCTTACATTATTAACGGTACCTAGCATACGGTATACATAATTGCAACAGCTGACATATACATGCAAATGGATTGTATAGATCATTCTCCTCGTATGCTGAAACATCCAACACAGGCTGTTGACTGAATGGGATGAGAAGGCGGGATGGTTCAAGGATGAGTTCTGAACGAAGCTTTTAACATAATCCCGTGTGCCACGGAGTCTTATTCGTATGGAGGAGGAAAGTGATGCAGGTGTGTGGTGGAACCCATGAGTACGGGTATGGAACAGACAAACCCAGAAACAATATCGTGGCTAACTCGGAATTCGAACCCAAATTGATGTGTTTCTTGCGTGTAACTCTCAACAACGAACTGCAAGATTGTGCTAAAGATGTCGCCCTTGTGTAATGAAGAATGAGGTTCTTCGATAGTTCAATATGTGACGACGACAGGACACCATGAATGGGAGTGACGGGTCGTCGCGTTGACCATTAGGCTAATGCACCACCCTTGATACTAGGCCATTTTCTAAATGTGTCATCTGTCTAAAAGCCACAAAATCCATCATCATACGAAATCGACCCCTCCTCCCGGATACCCGGGGTAATGGCCATGTGACGGCCAGGGTTATATATAGAGCTGTACATACACCGTCAACGAACTTGTACGTACGACCCACATAGCTAGGGTTGTTCACGCTGAGCTAGTTGTTGACGCTTGAAACTTAAAAGAAACGGGCAGAGAGAGCGCCCTTGCTGTCCACCCAGCGCATGATACAAACAAGAGGAGATATTGTATTGACCAGTTTGACGTATTCCAAAGGATGGCTGTGAGCAACACGCTGAAGGATCTATGGAAAATTAGGACATTACTGATACTTTTTCTTACCCCAATTCTGCTTTTGCCGCTTCCAATACTGATACCTACGAAGGTAAGTATTATCCCATTAAATCACTCGTTTGGTTTAATCAGTTCGATGTACACCGATGTCTAATGTTAATATACATGTTACAAACAGGTTTCGTGTGTAGTCTGTATGTACCATGTATGTGTATGTCCTTATGTAAAATTCTTAGGCCGGGGTACAATTGTCATTCCTTTTGGCAGGCGACGCATAAGCCTTGTCATTGTCACTCAAGCAATAATTTACAAGCGGTAACGTGTTGACAGCAGTGTAGATGTTGGATATTCATGGAGCATTTTGAAAGCAAAGCCCATTCACGCCACAGTTGTATTTGCTTCTTCTATGCCACGTATGCTATATTTGGGATTACATATTCTCAGTATATTCTTACCGATTTTTGTTTGGTGACAATATATAGTTTTGTCATGCGCATTTTCAAGCATGCATAATACTAAATACAAATAATATAATGTATATTTATGTAAACATTTAAGTAAGCTCTAATAAACAAACACAATATATGTTTGTCATGTACATTTATAAAATCATTCAAAAGTATGCTTTGGTCCTGCTTACCAATATATATTGTGCACCGACCAGCTGTTAGAAGCAACAGTGTCTGACGTGCGTGACATGGTTCTGCTTAAAGTTTGTTTTCAAACGGCGATCGGAGATATTGATTGTTGTCGTATATGTGTGGCAACCACTGATTCTTTAGAACCAGACTTGACTATCACTAGCCACCTTGCAAATGCTTTAGTATTGATGAGGTAAACCAGCATTCAATATCAACGGTTAAGATTCCAAATCTGTTTTTAAGTATGGATATTGAAGTAATTTCATTATGACACCTTGCTACACGTTGGTTATTATATATTAACAGACAAACTTGACTAGATCTACTCATTGAATACAAACGTTCAAGAAATGACACCTGGTTCGAGCCAACAGTCGTTAGACTCCAGCATGTATTACCGTCATTAACACTATACATCTGCGTCAGTGATAAAGAGACGGCAAAATGAAGTTGTAAATCAATACCACAAAATTACTATAAAGATAATTGAATTTCAGATAGTGTGTCACATTATTCTCTACCATCCACACACGCATTTAACTGAGGTTTGCCGTTCATTCAGCGTTATGCATAAATGATGACTCAGAGATGCCGTAAACATTGGATGACAAACCCTCACTAGACCGTGAAGACCCATGTAGGAGGATAGACGTGATAAACAACTCGTCATGTTGACTTCCAGCTTTCCGTACCGAGGTTATAACAAGAAAGCGTGATGTTTGAAAGCAACGGACCATATTGCTGCTGGTGGTACATATACTCAATGCTCATTGAAACACCGTTTATGCTGAATGAAACATCTATGGGTAACAAAGGACTCATACATGCCCCGACCTTTACCTGTTCACATTTCAGGTTCTTTTTACTAAGCTCACAGCCTCTTCCTATGTTCAGTTCATAGTCATCGGATCAGACATACAGGAATCAGAAACGCTTGAGAACCAGTAACTGTTACTTTTGAACTGATATGATGTTAATTCGTCGTATTCGTTCACAACGTTAACAAGGCTTTAACGAAACATATTATTGTCATATAACAGGATTTATATATAGCGCACATATCCACGCAACTAGTACATGCTCAAGGCGCTGGAGTGGACCCTAGATCAACGGATGTCATTTATTCTGGCATTATATAAACCAACTGAACTCCCTGGGGAGTATTAGACTCATGCAGCCTGTTATAACAGTACAAGTCAATCTGCTTGTTATAAAGTTTGTATTTCAAATGGTGCTACTTTTACAAGTTAGCGACATTTCGTCACGATGACATAAGAACCTTATGTGTTAACACGTGTAAACTATTAAACAAGGACATAAACCGTGCACAGGTCAAGCATTAACGTATACATATATTTCGACGGGCCCGAAAGAACATTAAGAAGACCTTGACCTACATATCCTTATGTGCATAAGGATACTTTATACTTTATCCTTTCAGGGTATATTGCAAAGTAAACATTATAATATTCTGTCTGTACACAGTTCGCTTTTTTCTGAGGGCCTGAGAAGGCCTCTAATGACTCGGATGTTGAAGAAATGTTCTACAATGTAGCTGCATCGCTGTGACTTGTGTGTTGAGAGTAACGTTCTACAATGTAGCTGCATCGCTGCGACCTTAGTTTGAATATGTATGATGTCTTTCGGCTCCCCATACTAACAATATTTTTGTCCCACATGGTTGTTGAATCATGAATAGGTACACACATATTTACACATGCGCGCGCACATACACATACACAGACAATATACGTGTCCTACATGTTTGTTGGATCTTGAATATGTATACAAAAACGCGCATACACACACACACACACACACACACACACACACACACACACACACACACACACACAAGGACACATACAAACACGCACCGCCTGTATCCCACATTTTTCCCGAGTATATCCTTTTACCACATACAACTCGTCACCCCGACTCAACGCCACAAAACACAGCGCACTTCCTCCTTCTCTCGCTCATGTCTACCTCACCCTCCCATTGTCTTCCTTCTCTCGCTCATGTCTACCTCACCCCTCTCCTCTTCCACCTTCTCTCTCTAATTTCACCCCACCCCCACCCCTTCCCTCTTCTGCCTTCTGTCTCATTTCTGTCCCATCCCCCAAGCGCCTTTTCTCTCCACCCTCATTGCCTTTCTTCCATTTATCTATATTCATGACTCCGGGTCATTTCATGGCTATTCTTAGCACTTGGCTGCATGCATTAACTTGTAAGTGACATCTCTACCTGTAACAGCTACACCTCAGAATCGCATCAACATTCAGACTCATACACTGTCGCCTTATAAAGGAAAGTCGTATCTATCCCTTCGTTTACTTCGTTGTTTCAGACTGGTTGTTGTCGCAACATGTATATTTCCTACTGTATCTACTTTATATGTACATGGGGCGGTGGGGTAGCCTAGTGGTTAAAACGTTGGCTCGTCACGCCGAAGACCCGGGTTCGAATCCCCACATGGGTACAATGTGTGAAGCCCATTTCTGGTGTCCCCCGCCGTGATGTTGCTGGAATATTGCTAAAAGCGGCGTAAAACCAAACTCAGTCAGTCAGTCAGTTATATGTACATTGTTTGTTAAGTGTCACGCCGTTCACAGCAATATGCCAGCTATATCACCTCGGTGTCTGAATAGTCGACAGGAACATCTATCTATTGCCGGCATCATTAACATCGATCTTATTGGGATCCGATGACATACATCAACAAAGTCGGCAAGAATGACCACTCGATCCCGTTAAGCCAGTGTTATAAGCATGGGTTACTGGTTCTCCAGAGTTCACTGGTCACAAACACACACCTAACACTACAAACGCTCCAAACACACTACATATCACCCAAACCTTCAAAGCCTAAGGGGGGCGGTGGGGAAGCCTAGTGGTTAAAGCGTTGGCTTGTCACGCCGAAGACCCGGGTTCGAATCCCCACATGGGTACAATGTGTGAAGCCCATTTCTGGTGTCCCCCGCCGTGATGTTGCTGGAATATTGCTTAAAGCGGGGTAAAACCAAACTCAGTCAGTCAGTCAGTCAAAGCCTAAGGCATCCTATCAAAACTGGCCTTTAAGGTCGCTTATAATCCCACATAGCCAACTTGTGCTAACATAATATAAATACCAAAAGAAAAACATACAAACAAACAAATCAAATAACAAACAAACCATCCCATAGTCCATCCCCCAACAACTTCTGGCGAATTTCCACATTCAAAATTCATGCAAATTTAATCATGCAGCCCGACGCTCACTAAATGACCAGGCGGACCTCTGTGAAATACCCATTATGTCGGAGAGCGCATGTTAGATCTCCAAACCATCATCATTAGCAGCAGCAGTATCATCATCATCATCACCAGACCAGTTGTGACTCGAATCTTCACGGTGTGTCTTATCTGTAATAAGGCGGTTGGCGATATAACAATGCAGTTTCCTTGAACACATTGTACAGCTCGTCATGGTTCAAGGCACTCCAGGATGTACGTGAAGTCAGGGACCATAACGTTGTGATGTCGCACTCTTTTCCCGATAATGCAATTCCTGATATTTCAATAAGGAAGTTGCGAATATCTCGTCGCAATCTTGAGTACAAACAGCTGATTGGTTTATTCATGTTGCAGTCAGTTTAGTGTATCTTCCGTGTAAGGCCTTCAAAGGAACGTGATCATTTTCCAGGAAAGATCGTCTAGAGGTCATAATACAATATGTACAATCGTAATTCAGCACTTCTGTGTCATGCTGAGGCATTTTTGAGAAATATGGGTCATTGTACGTCGGCATTCAGTAACTCCGAATTATAGTGTAGAATCATCAATATGTGTATCAATGAGTACGCCAATAAGTTCATTTATTATTAAGTTTTAGCAATATCCCACCAATATCACGGCGGGGGACACCAGAAGGCGTCACACATTGTACCATGTATCGAATCAAATCGAACAAGGATCTTCGGCGTGACGAGCGAGCGCTTTAACCACTAGGTTACCGCCACGCCCCCATGTGTTATAGTAACAGAACATGTATTATTCTTATTCATAATTCGAAGTCAGTGCCATGTATCGCCATTAGGTTCATGTGAGTCTTGTATTGGAACATGCATACCACACTGTGCTTTGGGATAGTACATTAGCTTTGTAGACACACACAGTTGGGATAGTTTGTTGTTTTTGATATAGTTAATAAATAAAAAGGAATATTTTTCGGCAAGTAGAAGAAATGTGTTCTACTTGCAGCAGTCAGATCTTCCCATGACTATTTGACTGAGGTACTGAGTTTAGTTTTACGACGTGCTAAAACATGTTCCAGCTTTATCGCGGCGGTCTGTAAATAATGGAGTCTGGACCAGACAATCCAGTTATCAACAGCATGAGCATCGATCTGCGCAATTGGGAACCGATGGCATGTGCCAACCAAGTCAGCCAGCCTGACCACCCGATCCCG